GCGTGCACCCCTGTCCCGTTGCAGCAGGTCATGGGGTGGTGGGTGCAGCCCCTGTCCTATTGCAGCAGATCACTAGGTGGTGGGTGCAGCCCCTGTCCCGTTGCAGCAGGTCATGGGGTGGTTGGTGCAGCCCCTGTCCCATTGCAACAGGTCATGGGGTGATTTGGGCGGCCCCTGGCCCATGGCAGCAGTTCACAGGGTGGTTAGTGCAGCCCTTGTGGTGCAGCTCCTGTCCCTTTGCAACAGGTGATGAGATGGTTGGTGCAGCCCCCAGCCCATTGTAGCAGTTCATAGGACGGTTGGTGCAGCTCCTTTCTCAGTGCAGCCCCTGGCCCATTGCAGTAGGTCACAGGGTAGCAAGTGCAGCCCCTGTCCCATAGCTACTGATTGTGGGGCAGTCAGTGCAGCCCCTATCCCGATGTGGCCCTCGTGCCATTGCAGCAGGTCACAGGGTGGTCGGTGCAGCCCCTGTCCCATTGCAACAGGTCGTGGGGCAGTCAGTGCAGCCCCTGTCCCCGAGCAGCAGGTTGTGGGGTGGTCGGTGCAACTGCTACCCTGTGCAGCAGGTGGTTGTTACAACTCCTGCTCCGTGTAGCAGGACTGGGGGGATTGTGAGGAGCTGGGCGCAGTTGTGGGGTGCGCAGTGCAAATCCACCCCATGCAAGAGTCCCTGGGCTGAGTTCATGATGGTGCTCAGCCCAGCACACCCTGGAGATGGGGGTTCTTCACCCGAGCTCTCCAGGAAATACTCACCGTACCCCCAAAACCCATTCAGCAAAACACCCGATTCCTTGGCCGAGCTGAGGAGGGGTAACGTGTTCCCCGCTGACCGCAGGACTCCTGGGCCCCTGGGCTGAGCGCGTGCAGGACGGTTAACGCCAGCGCTGGTGTCTCCGGCCAGGAGACGGTTAAAGGCAGCGCCGGCCTGCGTGCAGTCCGTGACACCCTGGGAATGTGTGTGCTGGCAGCGCCGGGATTCGCGCCGGCCTTTCTGGCGAGCTGGGACGGGGCGGAGGGAGGTGAAAAGCCCCGCTGAAAGGTGTTTTTGTGAGCAGCTGCCTCAGAAACCCGTACTTCAGTCCGAGCAGACCTCTGGTGCTTGCCAAGCAGTGATTTTTTTTAGATGTTTGACAAAACAGCTCGGGAATTTTTTTTCCAAATTTTTCAACCAAACATTTCTAAAATACCTTGCGACTCCACCAAGTCAAGTTTGTGCAGTTCCAAATGCCAGCTTGGGCACTGTTGGGTTTGAGAGTCCTGATTTGGTGTGTTGGAACGTGTCCTGTACTTCTCTTCTAACGTCTGAAATGGTTGTTTGCAGCCCGTTTTACGGGAAAAACAAAGAAATGCAGTGGCTTGGCCAGAGTTGCGTTCAATAGAATGAGTGGAGCCAAGAATTGAACTTTCTTCCTTAATATTCCTGAGAATATTAGGTAATGTGGACGTTAACAAAAATATCAGTCAGTAACGCAGGCTGAAACCTGTTAGCAATGCCTGCATGTGGTCTGCTTGCTCCCGTGGTCATCTCTGTCTCTTTTTCTTTTCCAGTTCTCAGTCCTTGCTTTTTATCTTCAATCGATGATTGTGATTTACCCCTTAACTCAGCTGCTGTTGACTCCCTACCTTGAGGCCATGGAAGCTTCTAACTGGCATTCTAAAAAAGAAAGACAGAGCCAGATCCGTGCAACATACAGCTGCAGAGGGAATTACAGGCAGCTCTGTATTGCATCAAAAAAAATCATTTTCAAAGCAAAATAATTGCTGAAGAGTTTAGGAACAGAAGAGGGTAAAGCAAAATAAGTACAATGTGATTATATGGCATTTGAGCATGGCTGGAACAGCAGGGTTGATGGAACACTTATTTCTGAAGAAATTAAGAGTTAAGCGTTAAGAAAGTTTCTCCAGGGAAAACAAGAGCTTCTGGACCATTGCTTGGACCATGAGTCACTGTGCGCGCGCGTTAGAAGCTGCGCTAGAAGTGACTGCCCTCACTGTTTTTGTTGGTTTTATTTTGTTTTGTTCCGATCCTGCCTCCTATTTGTAGGAGTTCGGTGTGTTTTTAACAAGCTGGATGAATGTGTGCGGCCTGGTTGAAACGGAAAAACCATCTGGAGTTCAGCTAATACTTTATCCTAGATCATACTTTGCTAAGTAGCCTTTGATTAAAAGGACAAGTTACATTTAGCAGGGATGGCTCTAAAAGCCAGTTAGTTTTCCCTGGCTGCTTAATCATTCCCTGCACCTTGTCATCCCAGCGCTTTCACCTCCTAATCAGGGCTCACACAGCACAAACAAGTAATGATTTGCCAAATAATTACTAAGTGCAATCTCTTTGAAGTAGCCCTGTGCTCATTAAGAGCTAGGGGATTCTGTGTTTAAATCCTGGAGTATTTCTCAAAATCAGGAGTTTTTAGCTTCAGCTGCAGGACTGTGGAATATGGGCGGACAAGGAGGGAGTGATAAGATTTCTGCAGCAGTGCTGGGTGGATTTCCACTTTATTCTCCCCGTTTTTTTTGCTGCACTTGTTTTTTCCTATAAACAGACTCCAGTCTCTATCCCCGTGGGTCTTAGCGAGTGTTGGCTTAGAGACTTGGGTTTACGCCTGCAGATTTGTCACTCGCAGTGCAGAGCGCTGCCCAGAGAGCTCTTAGGAACCTTTTCCTCCTCTGATATATTTATTAGAGGCTAAAAAGCTGTGCAGTAATTCTCTGTGTGAAGGAAAAATGTGGGGTTCCCCACAAGCCCAGGCCTTGCATCCTACAGCTCGGACAGCTCAGCCTGTTACAAGTTTGTGTGGAGGCTTGTAAATCACTCAAAGTCAGTAAAGGTTCAAGGTGACCGGATAACATGGATTAGGGGAACCTGGGAAAATGCCTGTTTATTGTCCTGAGAAGTGTCTCCTTCCTGTCTCTGACCTGCATGCTTGTGTTACCTGGAGATCTGGGCAACTCCTGACCAATGTGTTTATTTTTGCATTCCTACATGGTGGGAGACAGCCACGGTCCCCAGATCAGGGATGGGCAAACCAAAGCTCCCTGCCTCTGCAGCAGAGGAAAGGCTGGATGTGGGTGTCCCTTGACACAAGCTGACATCCAGACTGTAACACAAACTTTCTGGTTTTAGGGCAAAAAAATAGAGGTAGAGGCAAGTAAATTTGGGGAAATGAGAAATTACTCATTTCCTTTATGCTCAGTAGCTGAAGTACTGTGGGCTCATAGTGCATAAAGTGCTTGTGGGTCGTGCTGGTAGTGCATGTTATTACGTTGTTCCAAAGGCATCAACAAGCTGGCAGGGTCCGTGTGTGTCACACCGAGCTGGAAATGCTTCTGGCAAAGGCTGTGCAATTAGCTTAAGCTGTTCCTCCCCCGTAATAGGCACTCCTGATTAAATTAAACATGTTTCTCTCCCTCCAGACATGCCGTGTGTATATTCTACCTAGTCCTCCGTGCCCTGGACACCATCGAGGATGACATGACCATCAGTTTGGATGTCAAGGTCCCAATGCTGCACGAGTTCCACTCCTATCTCTACCAACCAGAGTGGAAGTACACAGAGAGCAAGGAGAAGGACCGGCAGGTGCTTGAGGACTTCCCAACGGTGAGGCATCCTGAGCTTCAGGGCTTCCTGAGCCTTTCTAGTTCCTGACAACCCTATAGCTCTTCAGAAGGAGAAGGAAGCAGGAGAAATGGGTGATGGTGCTCATGTAGTTGTTAAATGTTAGGGTTTGCTCTCTTTATGTGAGCCAGAGATACCTGGTTCTCTGCAAGTGCCAACTCTAGGAAGGGCATTTTGTCTCTGCTGCTGGAAGGCTCACTGAATAAAACAGTTTGTCTTGTTTCCCAACTCTGTAGGGCCTATGTCTTTTTCATGAGCTTGCTATCCTGCTACCCGTAACAGGCAGGGAGATGAGAGGTTGTTTGCATCCAGCTGCAAGGGGGAGCAGTGTTTGCAGTGGTCCTGCAGATTGTGCTCTTGATTTATATGAGTCTGGAGGTCCTTTGGTGTAGCCTGTTGAATAAAAGAACTACTTCCCTGTTTGTAACCATAAAGGACCCTTCCATTTAGCTCAGAGAACCCACCTCTCTTCGGCAAACTAAACAGTACTGAGGTCCTTTGCTGACCTTAAGGCCAGCTTGCACAGTCTTGTTGTTATTCAAACTGTTAAACTCTCTTAGCTTCCAGAACAGCGTGACTACATCCCAAGCTATCCTTGGGAAATGCCTTCTATATAGCCCATGCTCATCCCTAAAGTCTGGGGTTAGTTTTAGTGGACCTGGGTCAAAAGCACATCAGGGGCTCCACTAACAACCCAACTGTGCAAGTGATGGAGCCTGTGGTCTGCAATTACTTAATTTACTAATCCAGATGTAACTGTAGGGTTGTGGACCTGAGCTGTGTGGGCTTCTGCCAGGTTTCAGTAAAAACAGCACGACCAGAGTCTTGCTGCCCTGAGATGCAGTATCTTCAGCACTGCTGAGCTTCTGCAAGTGTGTTTTACCCACAGAGGGAAAAAACAGTGGTCTGGGCAGCCATTCTGGAGGAGAAGGACCAAGTTGGCAGCCAAAACCAGAGATGCTGTGGCTGAAAGACAAGGCTAGGTTCTATCAGGTGGGAATTGATGTCTGGTTTTAGTGAAGGCACAGGGCAGTTTTGCTGTGGCTCATGTTGATCAAGAACAGCTATTTTAAACAAAAGTCTGTTTAAGAGGCAGTATGATTAGCATGAGAAGTACTTCATCTTCTGAGGAAGTTCTGTTTTGGTCAGCTTTTGGCCCTTTTCAGTTCAGTCCATCCTTACCAGGCTTTCTCTAGTGAGAAGGGGACAATTATTTTAAAGGTAGAGGTTATTTTAAAGGTAGAATTTTAAATGCTGGAGGTTTGATGCCTGGACTATCTGGACATTGAGGACTGAGATTTTCCCCCACGCATGGTGTGCTGCAGAAGAGAAGGAAGTGAAGGAATCTGGGAATCTCTGCAATGGGGAGCTGGAGGTTCAGAATCTGCAGCGGCTGTGCCCTGTCTTGGAGGGGTGTACATTTTAGGAAATTGCTGTGTCAGGGAATTCTGAATATATAGCAACAGAGATATAGCAGGTTAGCCAATCATTTGTTATTTCAGGAGATCTTTTCTGTTGGGAATGTATTTAGAGAACTTCATTGTTGTCTCCTGGTTTGTATGTGTTACCAACTGTGACAGTCTGGGTTCCTGTTGAGGTGTGATTTTAATACTGTTTGGTAGACGTGTGTTCACAGTCGTTGCTTCTCCGCTCAGTGGATCCAAACCGTTGAGACTGAAGCAGATTGAGCGTTTTCACTTTACAGGCAGGAAGACTGAAACACAGGACACACCAGCAGCGATGGCTGGGGTTAGCAGTGGTGTTTGTATCTCACCTGGAGCCAGTCAGATTGCTCCCGTTCTCAGACACGCACCGTAGGCTGCCTGTAGTTACCCACTGATGGAAAAGAGAGTTCAGGAGATGAAGGCACAGTGAAACCTGGTGACACTGCAGTTTTGGGAGCTAGGAGGATACACTTTTTACTTAGTTTGAGAATAGCTGAGTCACTGAAACAATTATTGGAGCTTCAGAAGAGGAGTCTTCTCCATCATCTGTTGTTTGATGTCTTCTCTATTGCACAAAGGGCACCCTTGTGCCTTGGAAGAGCCAGAGCTGGAAAAGACCAGGGAGAAGGGAGCACCAGAAACGTTTGCTTTCTTTTCCAGTGGTTAGTTTGATGGGGCATGCTCATAAATGACAAAAATACCTCTGTGCACCAAGTGTAACTAGTTTTGTCCTGTAACTCCCAGATGATACCAGTCCAAGGCCATGGACTCTTACCAAAGATACTGCCATGTCTGATCTACTGCCAAAGATGATACTGTTCAGATTCAGAACATAACGAGCCTGTACTTATTTAAGGGCCTTGAAATTGCTCTATTTGTGGGAGTTGTCCTAGATCTCCAGCCAGAGTGGGATAAGAGCCTGGTAAACAGTCTTCTGGTTTGTTAATAAGTGTTGAATTCTGCTTTTCCTCCTGACAGTTGTCTTTGTTCTCTCTCGGTGGTTTGTGCTGCAGATTTCCTCGGAGTTCCGGAGCCTGTCGAAGGTGTATCAGGATGTGATTTCAGATATTTGTCACAAGATGGGTGTTGGGATGGCAGAGTTCTTGGAGAAGAAGGTGGATTCTCAGAACGAATGGGATAAGGTAAGTCAGCCTGCACATGAAAGCAGACAGAACATGAATGTGACAGTAGCCTTGTTGAAGGCTGCAGGTTTGCATGCACATCTTCCCTGTCCATGGTGAGCTGTTCCTTAATCCAGGGCAGCTGTGAATGAAAGCAGGTGTGGAAGAGGCAGACTTCACTGGTAGCTTTGCAACAGGAGGGAATTTGATCTTGTCACAGAATAGGCTGGAGCGGGGGAGCATCATCGTGAATGAAGAAAGAGCAGGAAACCTCAAAGACTAAGTCTCGGGAAGCTGTGAGGAGTGGGATTGGCTCCAGGTTGGGTGAAGATGCCTCCTCCAGCAAAGAATTCACATCCAGGAGCCTGAAACTTGACGCTTTTCAGGCCCATGCTCTCTCTGGGGGAAAAGGTGGCTGTGTCTTGCAGTTAGAGCATTCCTCTGGGAACTTGGCTCAGCTGGCTGAGGGAGGCTTGAAAAGCCTTTGAGAAACTGCAGCTGCTGGTCCTGTGGCTACCATGATGGTCATATGGATTATGGCTAGGACTCATATGGATTATGGCTAGGACCCCTTTTGGCCCTGGAGCTTGTTAAAGGACACAGATGTTCCTGCATTCCTCACGCCTTGCCGGTCTGGCTGCTCATTGAAGTGCGGTCCTCCCTCCCCTCTGTGCATTTTGAAGTTGCCCACTAGCACATGTTCTGGGTGACCTGACATTTCAGCAGTCCTTGTGGGCGATAGGGAAACTTTTTGGAAGCTGCCGTTGTCAGGGACAAATTCTTGGTGACATTTGCTGGGCTTGGAAAAGTTGAGACATTGCAAGGAGGACTGTGAAAACTTGCAGAAATCACACATTAAATTACACCTGCATGTTAATTTCATAAAACACCTGTAGTAAACAAAGTCCTGGTTTGTAATTGCTTATTTTGCATTGTTTTTCTCTTGATGCCTCACAGTATTGTCACTACGTTGCTGGGCTGGTGGGAATAGGCCTGTCCCGTCTCTTCTCTGCATCAGAGCTAGAAGACCCTATTGTTGGACAAGACACAGACCTGGCTAATTCCATGGGCCTGTTCCTGCAGAAGACCAACATAATTCGTGACTATTTGGAGGATCAGTTGGAGGGAAGGGAATTCTGGCCCAGAGAGGTAAGGGAAAACACTGCTTTTGGACAAGCGTTTCAGCTGTGCCTCCTAAGGGAATGCTTGGACTGTGCTAAGAAAGTGTGCAAAGACTGAGATAGAGTTGTTGCTCAAATAGTTAGTTGCAACATCCTCTTACGAGAGTTCCTCCTAGAATTTCCTCTTGGAAAAAAACCTGACTGGGGATTCCACAGCTTTTGTGAGTTTGCTCATGTTCCTTGGCAGCCTTTGTACTTCTATCTGAGGTTTCTCAGGGATGTAGCTAATCAAGCTGTGCTTTCCAGGGCACCTGACTCACAAAACTGCATTACAGGGAACATAACACAAGGTGCACAGCTGCAACTGTGGCCTCTACCACGTTCCTTTAAGTCAAAGTTAACAGGAGAAATTTGACTGCCTAATTTAACTAAGACCGTTACATAACGAACTGTGGCAGGTCTGTGCACCTCCTTGATAGTAAGAGTTCTTCAAATGGCAGTTGACTTAACAATTCCCCATCTATCCAGATTTATATAGATGCAAGTGTGGTGATGAGCTGAAGCCCCTCCATACTTCCAAGAACTTGCTGGGCAGCTCGTTTTCCCCTCTGTAAAGCTAATTCTAGCAATGAGGGAGAGCAAGCCCGAGGGAGATCTCGGGAGGCTACCTAGTTCATTTCCCAAAACAGGGTTGGCTCTGCCAATGCCTGACAAAAGCTCATCTGGTTGTTCTGAAAGCCCTACAAGGGCAGCAATTCTCTTTCCTTCCATCCACAGTGTATCACAAGGCTGATCTGTCTCATAAAGCATTTCCTATGTGCAGCCTGATGTGTGAACTGTCTTTTCTTTGCCCTACCTAGAGGTGACACCAACCAAGCCATCTTGGTTGCTTTCTTTACTGTTTCTGTATATGAAGGCCACTGTCATGTCTCCAGAGACCTTCTTTCTTCCTTTTCTTTAGCCTAATAAGCCCTGATTCTTCAGTAATTTTGTGGATCTCTGTTCTTTTTGGTATCTTAGACCTCACACTGTGTGGTTGTCTGTCCTATGGCATGATTGTACCTTCCAACATGTGAGTCTTTGGCAGGTTTGGAGCAGATACGCCAAGAAGCTCTCAGATCTTGCCAAACCAGAGAACATTGATATGGCTGTGCAGTGTCTGAATGAGCTGATCACCAACGCTCTCCACCACGTCCCTGATGTTCTAACGTACTTATCTCGCCTGAAAAACCAAAGTGTCTTCAACTTCTGTGCTATCCCTCAAGTAAGTTCCTGTTTTCAAGTGGCCCGATGGGTTCTCTTCATTCTCATTAGGAGGGCTGCAGATAGCTTGGGTGCAGGAATATGCACTACCATCCAGAGGGACCTGGACAGACTGGACAACTGGGTGGTGAAAAACCTCATGCAATTCAACAAGGCCAAGTGCAAGGTCCTGCACCTGGGGAGGAATAACCCCAGACACCAGTACAGGCTGGGGACCGACCTTCTGGAGAGCAGCTCTGC